ACCTGGGACCAGCAGATGGCACAGTGGTTATGTTGCTGGACTTGCATGTAGTCCACTGCGTTTCGAGTCCCTGACCCAGAGGCTTAAACTCACACTGGGCATGTGTGGTGCGTGCCCAAAATCCCGAGGAGACTAGATTACAACGTGGCCATCCCCTCTGGGGGTAATTCCTTGCTTTTTGTCTCTCCAACAGTATACGCGCCCTATAGCAAAAATTCTTTAAATAAAAAATAGAAAGAAAGAAAGAAAAATACATACCTTACGGCACTATGACACACCACATGACTTCTGCTTTTAATCGCCTTATTTATGAAGTAGTTCACTTAATAATGAATGGAGCTTGATTGAGGAATGACAGTATTCACTCCTTTGCATACCTCAACTCTATTTTATTCACTTGGGAAAAACCTCAATTCTGGTTGAACTTTGATTGCCCTATGTGTTTTAGTAGAATTGTGGATCTTGCGTATAGAAAAAAAAAAAATAAAACATAAATTGGACCAGCCCATGGTCTCATGGCTAAAGCATCTGGATCCCATATCACTAGTTATGTGGTCCAAGTCCTAGACTCAGCAGCTTGAAAAACACTAGGCGATCGCCTGTGTATGCATGTCCAATCCTGAAAGAAGGGAGACATGGAGAAAGTAATGTGCCGTGACTATTCTTGAGATGGGTGCTTAACCACCCAGCTTTGGGCCAACCCTTGTTATGCATTTTTTAAAATATACATATTCTAACAGAAATTTCTAAAGATATTCTGGTGTTCTGTTTGTATTTTTTTTCTCCTTAATTTGCCAGAGGGCACATGCACTCACTAGAGAGACAGAAAGAAAGCACCCTTCAATGAGATGTGGCCATTGCTGCAGTCTCTTCTCCATTGGGATTTCAGATATATACACAGTTGGAATCAGTATGTTTCTCAGTATGTTTCTCAGGTCTGTGGGTCTAGGACTCAAACCACAAGGCTGATCCTATAGAATCTAGATCCCTTAACCACCAGGCTTCAGGGCCAGCCCAGGACATTCTGGTAGATTAATGTCATCTTTTGTTGTTTCTAGCTTTGAAGCATGTTTTTTAAATAGGATTTTCTGTTCAGTTTGCTATAGGGTGTGTGTGTTCACAAGAAAGAGATAGGAAGAAAGGGAAAGTGACAAAGCGTTCCCCGGAGAAACTGGCCACTCTGCAGTCCCTTCTCCTTCATTCTTCTCTCCGGGTTTTGGACACACACACATGCCTGATGTGTTTTTCACATCACTAGGTCTGGGAGTCTTGGCCATGGGTAATCCAGCTGCCTTAACTGTCATGGCACTGGCTAGCCCTTGGAGCATATTTTTATGTAGTAGTAAGAACATTGTCATCTCAAAGTAGCTGATCATTTAGCTGAAGCTTTTTTGTTTACACTACAGCCATTAGACTATAACCTCCATGAGAGTAGGGACCCCTGGCTCTTAAAACAGTGGCACATAATTAAATATGTTATAGGGCATGTGCACTTACCAGAGAAACAGAGAGAAAAAGTGAGAAAGGAAACTTCTAGGCAGGATCAGCAGATTATGTAATGGTTATATCGCTGGACTCCCACATAGTCAACTGTGGTTCAAGTCCCAGACTTGGCAACTTAAAACTCACAGCGGGCGAGTGTATGTGTGTGCCCAAAATCCCAAGAGGAGAGGGAGGAGAAGGGATTGCTGCGTGGCCATCTCCCCTGGGGGATTTCTCACATTCTGTCTGTCTGTCTGTCTCTCTGGTGAGCACATGCCCCCTTTAGCAAAAATCTCTCTATTAAAAAAAAGAGAGAGGAAGCTTCCAGGTCTGGGACTCAGACTGTGGTTGGCCATGTGGAATTCTAGTGCCTTTAACCGTCATGCTGCCTACTGTCCACCTGTCCTCCTTAATTAAATCTTTAATAAAGGATATTGGGACATTAGTTATACTCACATATATTTCTTTATAATCTTGGTCAAATTAGAATTAGCAGTATTGTTTCTTTCCTGCAAATGTAAAGAATCTATGATCATTGCTAAAATTAAGAGAATGGAGGGACCAGCAGTTGGCATAATGGCTATGTGGCTGAACTCCTATGTAATCAACTGCAGTTTGAGTCCTGGACCTGGTGGCTTAAACTCATGCTGGGCACATGTACGTGTGTGCCAAGATGCCAGGAGGAGAATGGAGAAGAAGGGATTGTGGTTTGGCCATCCCCCTGGGGAGTGATTTCTTGCTTTCTATTTCTCTGTCTTTTTCTGTCTTTCTGGAGAGTGCGGCGCCCTATAGCCAAAACAAAACAAACAAACAAACAAAAAACTCTCCAAAAAAGAAATTTGAGAACAGGCCTAATGATTAAAGGAGTTAGATCTCACATGGCTAACCACATTTTAAATCCTAGCCCCAGCAGCTTGAAAAACATGCCAGGTACTTATGCATGTCCAAAATCCTGACAGGATTAAGAAATGAAGAAGATACTATGTTATGACCATACCCCATTAAGAAGTGATTTTTCTCTCTCCCTCTCTCCAGTCCCTTGCAAGCTCATGTACCCTTCAGCAATTAAAAAATGAAGAATGAGAGCTAGCTGGTGGCATGGTGATTGAGGTGGCTGGATCCCACAACTGCAGTTTGAGTCCTAGACCGTGATGGCTTGAAAAGTATGGTGGGCATGCCTGTGTGCGCCCAAAATCCTAAAAGGAGGAAGAAATGGAAGAGAAAGAATTGCAGTGTGACCATCCCCCATTGGTGTTTTCTCATTTTCTCGCTCTTTCTTTCTCTCTCTACTGAGTGCATATGCCCTCTGGCAAATTAAAATAATAATAATAATAGTAATTCTAACCAGGGAAAAATGATATATTATTCCATGCAAAGGCCTTGGCATTCTGGTCCAGGAATGAGAAGTTTGCAGATTGTACTTTTCCAGAGTTATTCTGTTTTTATTGCAACACCAAGGACTGGTCTCGTAGAAGACAATTTTTCCACATATCTCGGGTCAGTGTAGGGAGATGGTTTGAGAAAGATTCAAGCACATTACATTTATTGTAGACTTTATTTCTATTATTGCATTGTAATATATAATGAAATAATTATAAAACTTACCGTAATGCAGTATTTGCAGCCCCTCTGCAGTGCTAGCATCACCACCTCAGCTCTACCTCAGATCATCAGGTATTCGATTATCATAAGGAGGGCAAAACCTAGATCTCTTGCATATGAGATGGCTATGAGAACTCATCTCATTCTTCTATGAGAATCTAATGTTGCCATTTATCTGATGTAGAGCTCAGTGGGTAATGTAAGCATTGGGAGAATCTTAAATGCAGATAAAGGTTTTCTCACTTGCATGCTGCTCCATCTCTTGTGCAACCTGTTCCTAGCAAGAAACAGACCAGTATATCTTATTAAAATAAATCCTTTCAAAAATACTTTGAGGTGCTTCCAATTGAAGATTGAACTGTAAGAGTTTTTGTCTGATAAGTGATTTCTGCTTTATCCTTATTATATCCTGCACATTCTGAATATTTTTATGAGGCTTTGGATCTTACTTATTAAGTTCTGGTTAGCAGACCTCCTCTGACACTGCCTCTGCTGGTGAGCTTAACTGCAAGGTTGAGGGGTGAAAGTTCAGACTTACTACTTGACTTTCCCTGGCTTCCAAATGGTGAAAAAGATAGGGCATCTCTTAACTCAGGTTGGTGACAGAAGTTTAAGCTCTCTACTCAGACTGTACTGACACTCAAGGGTAGATTAAGGATCTTCTTGTTACTGATGGACAAGGGTGGAATTCTAGGCTTCCCACTTGGCCTCTACTGGCAGTTAGGGAGGGATTTTATGCTGTTTGCCTTAAGTAGGTTTTTTCTTTCTAGGTTTCATTTTTTCTAATTCATTCTTTCTCAAGAAAGATTAGGCTTTTCTTACTGCTTTGAGTTTCTGTTATCTATCTGTCTATCCACTTTGCAGGGGATGGATGTTTTGCTTAGGAAAAGTTTTTTGCTTGTGCTCACTGACATTTCTGGGTTGCAGCCTTCTCCCTTGCCTAGTCTGAGCTGCAAGAGGAAAAAAAAAAAATCCAAGATTATTGTTATGTTCTTCAAATTCAAACGTCGTTAACTAGTCTGCCTTCTCTCCACCATTCAGTTTTTTGTGTTTGTTTTTATGCGTTGTATTCAGAGTTTTTACAGTGCTGTATTTAGTGGGGAGAATAGAAACAAAACAAAGCAAAACATGTTCACTCATCCTGATTGGAGCTGAATGTCCTCAGTGACTTAAAATAGAAGGTAGTCCAATAAGAACTTACTTTAAAATGCTCAGAAAATCTGTTATTCTTCAAAATATTTTACCACCGTATTTTTGTATATCATTAAATTGTGCGTAAGATTAAATACATTCTTTTGAGACCAACAGATGGCATAGTGGTTATATCACTGGACTCTCACATGACCAACTGCAGTTCAGGTTCCAGACCCGGTAACTTGAAATTCATGCCAGGCATATGTGCATGTGTGTTCAAGATCCTAGGAGGAGAATGGAGAAGGGATTGTGGCATGGCCATCACCCTTTAAGGGGCGATTTCTCACTTTCCCTCTCACTTTGTCTGTCTGTCTCTTTGTCTGGCAAGGACATGTGCCCTAAGGCAAAACCTCTAAAAAAAATTAAAACATATTATTTTTTTATAGGCATATAGGTGCTCCCTGACTTAGTGTGGGGTTACATACTGATAAACCGTTGTAAGTTGAAAATATCACTAAGTAGATGATCATTTAATGCACCGCCCTACCAAAATGTACTTAAAACACTTATATTCCTGCAAGTGGGCAAAATTATCTCACCCAAAGACTATTATATAATAAAACATTGGCTAGCTCAAGTGATTTATTGAATACTGTACTGAAAGTGAAAAACAGACTGGTATTTTTTTTTTCAGCATCAGCTTAATCAAGTTGAAAAAAATTATAAATTGGGGATTTCCTATATACATATTTATGACAGCATGTGTATTTCTTTATTCTTAGGGTTATGTACTGAAGGACTCTACCGTGTTAGCGGAAACAAAACTGATCAAGACAATATTCAAAAGCAGTTTGATCAAGGTACGAAGATAATTATATAAAATAAAATCATTGTTTTTCTTATTGGAATTTTATGGTGAGAAGATTTCATTTGCAAACATTGTGTGAAAGTAAACATTGAGAGGAAAGAGTTTCAAAGTGGCATTGAAGTATTAAATAAATGGAGTAGGTTCTGTAGTAGAAGTACAGGAGAGCTAGAAGAGTCTTGTTTTTATAAGCAAGCATGTCACTGATAACTTTAGAGCTCCTCCCCCCCTTCGAAGTTAAGGAGCTGGACACTAGGGAAGGAGGAGGAAGAATATATGGAACTTTAAAATATATTTGCAATTGAACACAAGGAAAAGAGGCAGTTGGGTCAAGAAAATACAGGGATGTATGTTTGTGTGCATGCAGTTAATGTGTTAAGGCAGAAGAGGAGCCAATAAATAAGAAAGAAAGTGATAGGGCTGGTAGGCGCTGGACTCCCACATAGCCAAACACAGTTTGAGTCCTGGACCTGGCAACTTGCTTTCTCACTTTCTCTTTCTTTTTCTGGTCAAATTAAAAAAATAATAATGATTAATAAAGTTAAAATAATTTTTAATTAAAAAAAGACGAAGAAAGAAGGTGCTGAAAAACAGGTATTCAGTATTGAAAGTCCTTCAGAGGCCCAGAAGGAATGTAGTAGAAGAGGTTTTGTTTTGGAAATAGTGTAAATTATCTCTTATTGCAGGAAATAGTATAAAACAAATAATTTGAGTTTATATTGGATGCATTATGATCCATATATGAGGGGACTTCAAAAAGAACATGAAATAAAACACAAGTTTCTATGCAAAAAAAATCTGATATTCATGCAGTTTTTTAATGTCTTATTTCCATGAACTTGTTGAAGCCCCCCCTTATATGCTTTTTTTTTTTTAATTTCATGTTCCTTATCTGAATAAGTTATCTCAGAAATAAAACACTGACTGAATTTATGTAAGCCCATCAGAATTAGAAAAGCAATAAGTTGACTTATGATGAATCACTTTAGTAATAAAGACAGGGTGGTAGGTAATACCAGGGTTCTTGAATTTGACTTTGTGATTTTATTTTCTTCTTCTGCCACTTAACTATCTCTCTGTCTCAAACAAGTTAATTATTCTAAATTGTCTCTAAAGGGGAGGTGTGAAAAGGATAACTCTGAGAATAATGAGATGCATATAACGAGTTTTATTACGTGTGAGGAAATAAACTTTAATACACTGAAGTGTTTATTGGATCATTTTCATATAATTTTTAAAATTTTACTTATTATCATTATTCTTCAGTTTTGACCAGAAACAGACAGACAAAAAGGGAGAGTGAGAAAGCAAACTGCCAGGCAACTTTTTTTTTTTTTTTATGAGAGATTTTTGCCGTAGGACGTGTGCATTCACTGGAGAGAGAAAGTACAATCTCTTCTCCTCCATTCTGCTCTTGGGATTTTGGATATGCATGCGCACACGTGAGTTTCAAGTTGCTGGGTCAGGGACACTAATTGCGATCAGCCATGTGAGACTCCAGCACCTTAACCACTATGCTACCTGCTGGCCCCATTATTTCTATAACTTTTTTAATGAAAGAATTCTAAATGTTTAGTAATAAAAGTATGTAAATATTCAGTCTAGGGGGACTATTGTGTAACCATTAACATTGTTTTTGTAGGTAAAATGTTAATAGTTGGTGATTCTGCATTGAGGATATATGTATATTTTTAGACAATTTCTGTTATTTTTCTGCAGTCTTAAAATTACAATTAAATGTTACTCTGCAAAAGCAAAACATTTTAAAAGTTTGTGAATTTTTAATAACCTTGGGTAATGCCTTAAAAAATGAAATTTGCCGTAAAATATAGATGGTGTGGCTTTTGTTGTTAATGAGTAGATAAGGGCTAAAAGAAAGCAGGCTTAAGTGTAAACAGTAATTTTCTATAGGTGATGGAGATCATTGTTTTCTTTTCACATGTATATATTTTTACGTTTAAGTGACTTGTTAATATCAAAAGAACCTCATGATAGTTTCATTCTTGATTTTTGTTTTTTTTTTAAAACAGATTTTTGCTATAGGGCACCTGCACTTGTGGGAGAGAGACAGAAAGCAAGAAATCATCACCCAGGGGAGTATGGCTACACCGCAATCCCTTCTCCTCCATTCTCTTCTCAGAATTTTGGGCATACAGGTATATGTACCTGGCGCTGGGTTTTAAGTTTTAAGCCACAGGGTCTGAGGCTTGAATCATATTTGACTGTGTAGCAGTTCAGTGACATAATCGTTGTGCCATTTGCTGGTCCTTCATTCTTGTTTTTTAAGTCAGAAGAACTTCACTAAGTTTAAACTGTGTCATATGAAATTTTTTAAAAGAATTATTTAACTTTATTCATTATTATTATTATTTAAATTTGACCAAAGAGAGACCTGAGGAGGGTGAAGGGGAGTGAGAAAGCAAGCGGCCAGGTCCAGGGCTCGAACTGGCCATGTGAGAGTCCAGCACCCTCAACCACCTGCTGGCCCCCCATATAAAATTTTTAAATATAAAGTTAAGAGGTCCAGATTAGTGTCTATATGTGTAATTCCTAATTTTTTTCCCATGCATCTTTTTCAGTAATGTAATCAAAATGAAGACAGATATTAGTAAAGTTCTATGTGCTAATAAGTCTAACAACATTTTTTTTTTTTAATTGTAGCAGAAGATGCTTTTTTGTCTTTTCCCTGATCTACATAGTCTTTCGGTCTGTAAAGAATAGTGACCACAGGACTAGCAGATGGAGTAAGGTTACATTGCTGGACTCCCATGTAGTTGATATTGATTCAAGTCCCAGACCTGGCAGTTTAAAACTCAACCCTGGGCTCGCGTGCGTGTGTGCCTAAAATCCCAAGAGGAAAATGGAGGAGAAGAGATTGTGGCTGACCATTCCCCCATGGGTAGTGATTTCTTACTTTCTGTCTCTCTGTCTCTCCTGTGAGCCCACACGCCATATAGAAAATTCTTTTTTTTTTTTTTTTTTTTTTTTTTTTTTTGAGAGGTTTGTACTATAGGATACGTGTTCTCACCAGACAGACAGAGACAGAGATAGAAAGCAAGAAATCATCCCCCTAGGGAGGATGGCCACACCACAATCCCTTCTCCTCTGTTCTCTTGGGATCTTGGGCACGCACACACATGCGCCCTGCGTGAATGCACCCGGTGTGAGTTTTAAGTCCCCGGGTCCGGGACTTGAACCGTAGTCGGCTACATGGGAGTCCAGCGACATAGCCATTATGCTAACTGCTGGTCCCAGAGAAGTCTTTTTATTTTTTTAAAGAATTATTTTATTGAAAGTTATTTGTTCATTATTTATTTATTTATTTATTAGTTTGACCAGAGAGAGAGAGAGAGAGAGAGAGAGAAAGCAAGTTGGAACCAGCAGTAGGCGTAATGGCTATGTCATTGGACTCCCATGTACTTGACCACGGTTCGAGTCCCAGACCCGGTGGCTTAAACTTTTGCTAGGCGCGTGTGCATGCATGCCCAAGATCCCAAGAGGAGAATAGAGAAGAAAGGATTACGGCATGACCATCCCCCGGGAGGGTGATTTCTCACTTTCTATGTCTCTCTGTCTTTCTGGCGAGTGCATGCACCTTATACCAAAAACCTCTCCCAAAAAAAAGAAGGAAAAGAAAAGAAAAGTGAGGAAACAAGCTGCCTGGTCTGGGACTCCATCTGTGGTTGGCCATGTGGGATACCAGCGCCTTTAACCACCATGCTACCTCTAGGCCCCATCAAAAATCTCCCTTAAGGAAAACAAAAAAGAAAAGTGATCAGTGAGAAGACTTAAATTTCATTCATTCTAGAAGTACCAACTTGCATAGCTTACTTACTCTATAATGAATAAAAATTTTATTATATAAATTAAAATTTTAACTTTTGTCTTACAGACCATAATATCAATCTTGTATCAATGGAAGTAACAGTAAATGCTGTAGCTGGAGCTCTTAAAGCTTTCTTTGCAGATCTGCCAGATCCTTTAATTCCATATTCTCTTCATCCAGAACTGTTGGAAGCAGCAAGTAAGTGTATTAACTTTTTATTCTGAGAGGGATAATGATAACAATTTTCAAATATTGATTCTAAATGTTAAAAAACCAAAATCTGTCATGCACTAAAATATATAGTTAATAATAGTTCTTCTTACTAGAACTCTGTTTCTTTCTTTTTCATTTTTTTTTTCTCCGTGAGAGAGAGGGAGGGAGAGGAAGAGACACCCCAACAGGATGATCCTTTCCCAGCCTTAGCCAGCCAGCATCACTGGCATGCACGTATGCGCCTGCTGTGTACAGGGGCATATTGGGTTGCAAACTCTCAGGACCTTCCCATAATGGCCTTAGCATCGTAGAATGTTGAGTTACTGCTGTGCCACCACAGCTGGTCTAGAACTCTGTTTTCTTACAGGTATTTTTTTCTAAATCAAAATAAAATTAGGATCCCTGGGGATGGCCACTGGAAATATTCAGTTTTAGCTAGCCTCCCATGTGACTTAAATGTTCCTAGAAGTTTGAAGGTCAGTATACTTAGTAGAAGTTTGACTTTTGTGTTTTTATTTCAAACTCAGAAGCATTAAAAGAAAATAAAGTAAATCCTTTAAATGAATGTATCCATAATATTCCTGAGTAAAACAATAACCTGTGAATGTTCTACACATATACCTATTTAAATTTTAAAAATTTGATTTAAAGAAATTTACTCTGCCTCATAAGTCATTTTTGGGAAAAGTAAGGTAAAAGCATGGTTTCTTACTCAGAATATTCCTACTTGGGAATAATTTATTCGGATGTTGCCAATAAACAAATACTTTTTTATCTGGAAAAGTGAGACCTACAGATAACAGGTAACCTAATTCTTAATCTACTTTGTTTCTCGATGATAAAAATAAATGTTTCTAAATATTTCTTTGTAATATTTATTTTTGACGGTAAGCCTTTACATTTTTAAGTGAGACTGCTTTATTATAGTTTTACATTAAAGTTCTCTGTTAATTTTTTAAATTAAAAATCACTTTAGTATATCAAATTATAATTGCCTTATACATACTCCCATATGTAAACTGAAAAAATAGTTCAATTGATAGCTTACGTTTTACTTCTTGACCATAGGCAGTAACTTCAGAACTTTTCTATTTATTAAATTTTTAAGGACTGACTTAGAAGTTCTGTGTGACAAATAATAATTTGTTTGTACTTGGTTATACTATCACAGCGATGTGTGCACATTGGCCTCTGGAACAAAAGACAACAGAGAAGCACTTTCTTTGCTTTTTATTTTATTATTTCTTACTGATACTAACTTGCAAAATGACTTTAGCATACGGTGTAGTTTTTCAAAGTGTCTATGTAGTACATGACTGTCAAATCAGGGATATTATCATATACATGATTTTCAATGGAGAACTTGATTCATTCCTATGTCTCTTTAAGTATGTCTTTCCTGAATCCCTCTCACTTACCCTGTGTTGTCCACATTTTTTCTATATAGTCTCTGATATTTTTATTTCCCCTCCCTACTATTGTATCTTCAGATCTTTCTATTTCTGCAACAGAGTGCAGACATTTGGAATATATTGAGCAGGGATATACAGTGTGTTTTCCAGTCCGGCTTGCTTCACTTAGCATTAAATTGTCTATATTCATCCACTTTGTGTCAAATGACAGGGTCTTATTGTTCCTTGTGCTGAGTAAGATTCCATAGTGCACGCATGCCACATTTTTTCAATCCATTCATTAGTTCTTGAGCCACTTAGGTTGATTCCATGCCTTAGCAATTGTGAATAATGCTGCAGTAAACGTAGATGAAAAAAAAACACTTTATCTCCTATTACAGTACTACATTTCAGTTACCTTGTTTCATAGTTTGCACAAATTTGGAGAGTAAGTTAAATGCTTATACTGCCTATAAATGAAAATTTTTGATAGCAAAGTGGATTACAAGTTAAGTGTAGTGTGTAGTATAGATGAACTATGACCTAAAGGGCATATTCATTCTGTCACTGGTGTTTGAAAGGCTTTTAAGCTGAAATGAATTTTTTTTTTTTTTTTAGATTTTTGCTATAGGATACATGTGCCCGCTAGAGAGAGACAAAAAGGGAGAAATCACTCCCTAGCAGAATGGCCACGACACGGTCCCCTCTCCTCCCAAAACCTTGGGCATGCACATGACATGCATTTTAAGCCGCCAGGTTTGGGACTTGAACCGAAACTTGAATGGCAGTCAGCCATTGGGAGTCCAGCGACATAACCATTATACCATTTGCTGGTCCTAAAGCTGAAATGGCTTTTATATCAGGGAAAAATAAAAGTTCATGACACATTAAAATTATATGAAATTCAAATTTCAAGTATTTTGGGAATACAGCTACCATATGTCTGCTACATACTGCTGTTACTGGATTTGTGCTACAGCTACATGTGAATAGTTACAAAGCCTGAAATATTTTCTTTCTCTAACATGAATATTAAGAACTTTAAGGGGACCAGCCACTAGCGTGGTGGTTAAGGCGCTGGACACTCCCACATGGCTGACCACAGTTCAAATCCTGGACCTGGTGGCTTGCTTTCTCATTTTCTCTCTCTTTCTCTCTGTCTCTCTTTGGTCAAATTAAAATAAATGAATGAATAAATAAAATTAAATTTAAAAATTCTTTAAAAATAAAGAACTTTAATAGGTTTATAACTAGTCAGTTCTTAATGTCTAGTTAATGTAAATTACATGACTAAATTGATATCATTACCCATTTTGTCAGTGCTGACTTTCAATCATCAGTGATTAGTTTACCTTTAAAATGGGTGTAATAATAGATAATAATGTTAATAGATGATGTTAAAATTATTTCCTAATTAAGTTAATTTTATCAGGTTCTTTAGAACATATTCTCTTATCTTGTTTACCTTCCCTAATATGCTTCAAACACATTTCTCATTTTCTGTTACAGTAAGCATGAAAGGAAGCTTTATCAAATGTTTTTAAATGTGTGAGTCTCATAGATTTTTCACTACTTTAATTTTACAGAAATCCCGGATAAGACAGAACGTCTTCATGCCTTGAAAGAAATTGTTAAAAAATTTCATCCTGTAAACTATGATGTATTTAGATATATAATAACACATCTTAACAGGTATTTTTATTTTGTTTTGTTATTGCAAATAAAATGCTCTTGTACATTTGAACATGTAAACTTTATATGTAAATTGAGTAATTAGAACATAGGAAAAGATAGACTATACAGTTCAATTTTGGTTCTCTATCATGGTTTTTTTAATTATATCTTTAAAAATATATGGTGGGTGGGATCAGCAGATGGCGTAATAGTTATGTCACTGGACTTACATGTAGTTACATGGACTGTGGTTTGAGTTCTGGATCAGGTGACTTAAAATTCACACGGGGCACATGTGTATATGTGCCTAAAATCCTAACAGGAGAATGGAGAAGTGACTGTAGCCTGGCCATCTCCCAAGGGGGTGATTTTTCATTCTCACTTTCTGTTTCTCTGGCAAGTGCACGTGCCCTATAGCAAAAATCTTTCTCTTACCAAAATAAATAAATAAATAAATAATATATGTATATGTATGTGTGTGTGTATTTGTGTGTGTGTATATGATTATTTTTGTACTTGTAATAGACATATTTTCTTTTTTGTCACACTCTAACAATTGTGGTATGTAGAATCTTAGAATTTTAGCTGTGAGAAGGTACTTAATGATAATGAACCAAATCAATCTATTTGGAGTTGGAAAAATGGAGGCGTAACAAGGAAATTTTATGCCCAAAGTCATATATATAGTAAGTGACTCATTTTATGAGTAGAATTCAAGTCTTAAGAGAGCCAATCTATTTTTCTATCACACCGTACGCAGGATAGTACTATTTTTTATAGAGTATAGTCCATTGACTAGATTTAGCCTCAAAATGTTTTTAGGCCACATCCTTTATTTCAGACAAACAACTTCTATGCCTGGTGGTTTACTTTGGTTTAAATTTAAAGATTTTTTTTGATCTGTAAACTTAGTATCTTGCTACCCTGTATACTTCTGAATTGTTCCATTATATAATAAATGAGGAGGTCAGGACCAGCAGTTGGCATAATGACTATGTTGCTGGACTCCCATGTAGTCGACTGTCGTTTGAGTCCCGGAACCGGTGGCTTAAACTCAGGCCAGGCGCATGATAGTGCATGCCCAGGATCCTGAGAGGAGAATGGAAGAGAAGAGATTACGGCGTGGCCACACACACACCCCCACCCTGGAGTGATTTCTCACTTTCTGTCTTTCTGGGGAATGTATGCACCCTATAGCTAAAAAACCTCTCCCCCCGCAAAAAATGAGGAAGTCGAATGAACCCTTAAGATATCTCCCAATTTAATAATTTTGAATTATAGTCCAAGATTTGCCTCTTAAATTTTTTGTTTATAAAGATGATGGTAGATATGCTTGTTCACATATCTAAAGGACTGAATGCAAATTAATAATGTATGATCATTTGTAAATTATTGTTAAGTCATAAGAATTTTAAGGTGGAATACATTGTAGATTGAGTATTTTTCTAATGAAATTTACAACAATGTACAAAATACTTAATGATCGAAAAGATTGTTTTAGGACCAGCAAGTGGCATGGTGGTTAGGCTTCTGGACTCCATATGAGCTCTCATGGTTCAAATCCTGGACCTGGCGGCTTGTTTTCTCAAGTTCTCTCTCTCTCTCTCTCTCTTTCTCCTTCTGGTCAGCTTGTGCATCCTGTAGGAAATTAATAATAATAATGAATAAAATTAAATAATTCTGGGGAAAAAAAGAAAAAGATTATTGTATGGAATACTAGAAACTTTTTTTTTTTTTTGAGTTTTTTTGCTATAGGGCACATATGCTGGCAGAGAGACAGAAAATGAGAAATCACCCTGAGGGACCACAGTCCCTTCTCTGTTATCCTCTCAGGATCTAAGGCACACAAGCACATGTGCCTGACATGAGGTTTAAGCCACCGGGTCTGAGACATGAACTGCAGTTGACTACATGGGAGTCCAGCGACGTAACCATTATGCCATCTGCTGGCCTGAAACTTTTTTGAAAGTATAAAATTCTTTTGGTTACATTATAATAATTTTTTCAAAAGACAAGGAATGCCCTGTTTTATCTTATCTTCTAGTCACAGAATTTTTATATATGATTAGCCTGCTGTGGGAAGCTCATTAAAATTTGTCACATGGCCTTACTCTGAAGGGAAAAGATTGTGTTTTTTTCTTCTGTTTTTAAAGGAATTACTTATTTATTGTATTTATTATTACTTTTTTTTTTATTTGGTATAGGGCATGTGCATCCACCAGAGAGAGACAGAGTGACAATGAGAAAGAGAGAAAGTGAGAAAGCAAGCTACCAGGTCTAGGACTCCAGCCATGGTTAGCCATGTGGCAGTCCAGTGCCTCCATGTGGCAGTCCAGTGCCTTACCACCACACCACTTGCTGGCCCAAGATGCAGCTTTTTTTTTTCTTTTAAAGTTTTATTTGATTAGATATGGTAGAACTAATATGAGCCACTCACATGTTATCCTTGCAGACATATTGACCATTCCATGTTATGACCTTGGATGACTGTGTAACTCCATAATGCATATAGTGAAGCCCTAATACACAATGCAAACAAATTTGAAGATCAGGCCTTTCCTGAAGTAACTAAGGTTAAACTAGGTCATAAGGGTCAGACCCCGATCTCATACTGATGTAATTATCAGAAGAGGAAAGAGACTGGAGCTCTTGTTCACACATACACACACACACACACTCACACACACCCAAGACTAAGGAAAGCCCACATGAATATAAAGTGAAGAAGCCAGGAAAGAAGCCCTTACCAGAAACTGACCATGCTGACACATTGATCTTCCAGTTGCTAAAACTTTGAGTAAATACATTTTTATTGCTTAGACCACTAAGACTCTGACTCTCTTAGCTTGCTTGACAACCTGAGCTAAACCTCTTTATTTATGCAGCAATAGGTGTATGCAGGAGTAGGAATGTCTTTTTCAACTCTAGAATTCATTCAGCAGACCATCTTCTTAGAGTATTATGATAGGGTTTTTTTTTATTATTTTTATTAAACTTTGTTTTTTATTTATTTTTTGGAGAGTTTTGCCTTTTTTTTTTTTGCTTTAGGGCTT